TGTGTTGGGGGAGGGCCCAGAAAAAGTTTGAAATTACACCCCCTCAGATGCGTTTTCTGCGCGAGCAGGTGAGGGTCCGGACCAGAAAAAAGGGCCGTGGGCCAGAAAAAAGGGCCGTGGGCCAGAAAAAAGGGCAACTCAAAATTTTTAGGGGGGGGTGCGCACCCCCTGCAATAAAAAAATAGGTGACCATCCTAATTGTTTGTTTTGTTAATAATCGCCTCCATAACGTTCTCCGTGAGAACAACTGTAAATTTATATTAGTTAGAAACAGAAAGACCGGCCGCCTAGCTGTAATACCAAGATAACAGACTCGTAATGTAATTTTAACGTGGCGAGCACAGCTAGCGTGCGTTTCATCTTATCGTATACGGTCTTCGCTCCTCTAGCGCTTTCGATTAGCACCCTATCACTACTGATCACGTGGTGATTAACTACCAATCACAATGAAATTGGCACCATGTGCAAATACGCATGATTGCTCAAGGCGCTACGCAGGCCATCAATTATCTTAACTAAACATGTTAATTAAGCAATACATCGTACAATGCCTGTCAATGAGTTATATCTGTTATGTGTGTACATATACAGATTCGGGAAAAAATGTGCTACGTGTATCTGTCAGCATTTTTGCAGAACATTGCAATACACGGAATAAGACGCTTGCGAACTTTTATTCTTGCACGGAATTGCGGTTTGGTAAGTTAATTGAATATTGGCACAACTATATTTACCGATTGATTGAATGTTGAATGTTAACATTCAGCGATCCACGCATAGCAATGGAAATGTACGTAGCTATAGCAATATGGCATGATCGCAATTAATGCGGCTGCAGAAATTTCTTGTTTATATTGGCACACGTAAGTACGTCGTTATATCGCACTCAGTACCTTATTCTAATCAAGATTACGCTGCATAGCATGCGGGATGCGGAATAAGACAAACATTTACCGACCGGGATAAGAATATTCATACCGATAAAGACAACTTAAACGGTGCGTTGGAACGCGTGATACGCGCCTGCTGATCACAGCATTATATACTTACACTTGTATAGGCAACCGCACACGTGTTTACAGCGACCTCTCGTATTTGCTGTGTGAGTGTAGAGTAGTGTCCTTCTGCGCAGCCACGATCTGTTGTCGACGAAATACGACACGCCGTCATCGCAGGAACATTACACTAACCTGTCGTTTCTGACTGCGAAATCTTTCGGATATATTGTGTGTGTTTTTGGTTAGTTGGACGTGTTTTTTGCGCATAAGCTGGAGGGGCAAAAGACACGTACAATAGTCAGTGAACAGACAAGTTCGTTGACTATTTTTTTCATCGATAGCGAGATGACTGTACGGGTGATGTGTGCACCTTAAATGCTCGGCTCACAGATGGAAATAATGATACTAACAGGCTGATAAAGTCTGTTGAAGGGACAAAACCAGACGGCTAATAGGGAAAGCTCCGCGCTCAGTTAACTGTCGCGATATTTGTGCGCTATTGAGACTTGGATCGACCAGATACATATGGCCTCTACGTCAAAACATTCAGACATTTCCGAAGAATTGTATAACAATGGCAGCAGTGAAACTAGTTGCGGTGTGTGTCTTGTGCGCAGCTTTAGCGACGGTGAGGACGCAGTTCCTGCAGCATCCATCTGACACGGAGGCAGTTGAAGGATCTAATATTACCATGTCCTGTGAGCTTAATCTGACGCTTGATGGTAGCGATGAAGGTCAACCATGGGTGGACTGGTATCGTGACGGTTACCAGATTTCAATCGAGAATGAAGACAGATACTACATCGATGGTAATAGTTCGGACACGGGGAATTTTAGCATACAAATATCAAACTTACAAGTTGATAAAGATGATGCAGCGTTCTACTGCCAATTGCAGCAATATGAAATAGATCCTGAGAATAACTCTGTATCTAACACGGGTCGGGTAACTGTGCTTGTGTCACCACAGGCAGTTGATATGTTTCCGATCCCTTCACCACCGGATGGAAAGCTACAGTTTTTCTGTGTATCACACAGCAGTAAGCCAGCTGCCAGCGTCACGTGGTGGCTGAACGATGAAGACATCACAATTTACGCAAATCAAACACACGTGCCAGGTTTAACAAACAAGACATTTACAACTGAGAGCACGCTGCGGTACAGGGTCTCATCAGAGCATAATCACAAAGAACTTCTCTGTCGAATTTTCATCCACGAGTACTTACCTGTAGAGGGAATAACCGAGACCCTGTACCTGAGAGACACTGTGACCATCAGCAGCAGCAGCAACTCTACTGGCAATGACGTGTCTATCTCGCAAAACACGAACCTGACATTACACTGCAATGCAGATGGTTATCCAGAACCAACATACGCATGGTTTCACAACCTCAATCGGATTCGCGAATTGGGAAACGCGTTGGTCATCGAGCAAGTGGCACTTGACGACAGAGGATTCTACTCATGTCAGGCGAATAGTGCAGTTGGGAAATACATGTCGAGCAACATGATGGATGTGAGCGTCGCAGTTCCAGCTGCATACGCCTCGATGACGGTAGACCATTTCGTTGCTAATGGCGCGGTGACGATAATCACAGGACTACACGACGTTAGGTGTTTTACACGTAAAAGCTTTCCCGGCGGAATGGTAACCTGGCGACTCGGTGACAGGGAGGTGAAAACGGCGATTACTTTGCATATCTATAACGACGACGGAACTATAGCGACGTACAGCACACTGACGCACATATTCACCAGTGATGACGACGGCGAAACGCTATCCTGCCACGTTGACATCCACGAATTATTTCAGCCGCTGTCGGTCGAGCTGCAGCTTGATGTTCAGTACATGGGTGAAGTGAGAGTGAGCGGCGGCGATCAGAGTGGTAACGTAACTCTCGAGCCCGGCAACCCGCTGCGGCTGCTCTGCGCTGCGAACGGAAACCCAGCGCCATATTTCTCCTGGCTGCACAATAAGACGCTAGCCGTTGGAAACGGTAGCAGTAGCTACGAGAAAGAATCGGTAGGCTTTGACGACACGGGCGTCTACGAGTGCGCGGCGCGAAACAACGCCGGTGTTTTCATTTCGAATGAAGTGGCTGTGTTCGTCATTGCGCCGGATAAACTAAATATTGGCTACATCGTAGCCTACCTCATATTGAGCTTATTCATCCTCATTGTCATCATCGACGTTGTCGCCATTTGCATGCAAAAGAGAGCCGAGGCACGGGCAAGTACTGAGCCAGAAGAGGGTACCACGGACGACGATAACAGCATTGTAATAGAAGTGTCGCCTAAGAAAGAAAAATTCAAGAAAAACGTCAAGGCTAAAACAACTGACGCTGTAGTATAACTGGTATATGTCACGGGGAGCCTGCGGATCTCCTACCGGACAGCTGCCGCACCGCACAACAACATTATGAGTCAGGTTCAAGAAAGACCTACACGCAATACGTCAGGTGGCGCTCACAACATTATACATGGTCTAGTACAAGGAATGGCAATGCGATCGTAGCGTATCTCAGCCAGCAGATGGCGCTGATGCAACGAAAAGAAGTGACCATGGATGTTACCACAGTGATGTTACTACGCTTCACGGTACGGCAAGGCTTCTATGGGAAGGAGTCTAACTACGCACAGTAATACACAAGATGGATGCCGTCTACTGACTCGTCATGTTGAGCTTGAACGCAGCAGTTCATAGGAGAGCCACTTAGATATAGTTGTGTGAACGTAAAACACGCAGCACACGTCCAGGTGTTAGACTCTTTCGGTTATATAGTAGTGAAGTTGTAATACAGACAGTGAAATTATACATGTGATACAGAATTATTATCTCCGCCAATGAGATTATATTTTCGCTCATGGTGGTTTGTTGGTTTGTTGGTTTGACTGTCAACAGGATATCTCAAAATGTTACGGACGGATTTTGATGAATTTTTTTGGACAAGTTGGTATTGGGCCAACAACCAGTCGATTAGAGATTTTGGTGGTGATCCGGATCCGGATCTGGATTCAGGATTTTTTTTGTAATTTTGTATTTTTTTTTGTTGGGGAAGACTTCGAACGCATTCAAAATTCATTAAAAAAAATCCTGGATCTTTTTTCCAATTTCTGAAAATTCCATCAAACTATATATTGGGTGTACCAGCAAGATGGGGGGACTGTTACGCTGTGGCGGAGGTTTGCTATCTCCGATTGCTCTTGTATTATGATATTGTATCGAAGTTCTACCGTTATATTGTGATGAAATTATAGTATTATATAGTGTGGCAAGGTTAATGCATGCATATGTCGCAATTTTGAAGTGATTCTCTGGAGCAAAGAGAAGCAGTACAACAAGCAGATTTTTCGTGCGAAATTATAATGAGGCAAATATTCCTCAGTGCATATAGTCGCTACATTCATGCTGAAAAACGTGCTATTTAGTGGAACCGCGCTCTTCAGATATAGCTTGTATAATTATAACAACAGCGAAATATTATATGTACACATGCATGTTTGATAAATGAATAGGCCTAGGTACGCGTGCGTGCGTATACGTCTCTCTGTGCGCGCGTGTGAGTAGCCTATGTATGTGTGAGAGCGCGTGTGTGTGTGAGTGCATGCGTGCGCGTGTGTGTGCACGCGTGTGTGTGTATGTATGTGTGAGCGCGCGTGTGTGTGTGAGTTCATGCGTGCGCGTGTGTGTGCACGCGTGTGTGTGTATGTGTTTGTTTTATTGCATATCATATAATTAAACACATGGTGATAATAATATGTGAGTACACGTGTATGCATTGGTATTTTCCTGTTCGACTCTGATCCAGGGCAAGACAGCACATTAAGTGACAAGGAGAACAGAATGTTATGGCCACGCAGTGCGTAGCAATGTCTGTTTATCGGTGTTGCTTTAAGGTCTAGTAAATATATTTACATGCGTTGTAATCAGCGAGAATGTTAGGATGTTGTTGATGGAGATTTAGACGAAAATATTAACATTGTCATCGCTAGAATATTAGCACACACACAGACGTATATATATATATATCAGGTGGTCGACTGTTCGGAATGTGGCGGCTCCTTTCTTTCCATTTTCGATGTTTACCGTTTATAAATCGCATCGAGAAACAGAGTAATAGATACCTAATCGGACGTTACACTCGGCTATCTTATACGAGTTCACAGACCATCTCGCCTAAGATTATACGCTAGATATCAAGTTAGATATAACATTTAAATACTTTCGCGTGCACTTACGTGGCACAAACCAATCAGCGCTCATTGAATGTGTCCGTTGGAGCCGTCTTTGTCTTGTCTTTGTGTGACTATCCGTTGCTGTTGAGTACATACACAACGTCGTCATCGAAGTCATGTCATATGAATCGATCGTTGCAAACCATCAACCGAAATTTGTGAAATCATTTATTTTCGGTTAGTTGATATGGATTTTGGCATATAAGCTCGGATGCAGCAGCTCGTTAACGGATAAACACGTGGGCGTGACGGGCAGGAATAACAATGACAGCAGTGAAGCTGGTTGCGGTGTGTGTATTGTGCGCAGCCTTCCTGGCGGTGAGGACGCAGTTCCTGCAGCAACCATGTGACACGAACGCAGTTGAAGGTACCAATGTTACGGTGCACTGCACGATTGACCTTAGTGTCAATTCCGGGGAAGAATCTACCGTTTTGGTTTATTGGTATCGTGACGGTTCCTACGTTAGTCCTACTAATGAAGAAAGATATTTCTACATTGACGCCAACATGTACGACACCGGAAACTTTAGCTTGCTAATTTCTAACTTGAGAGTTGAGAAAGATGACGCAGAGTATTATTGTGTATGGCAGCAAGACGAGCTCGCGCCGGGGAGCGGCTATTTCTCTAACAAGGGTCATCTAACTGTGCTTGTGTCCCCAGAGTCGGTTGCCATGTCTCTTATAGACAGCTCTTCATCACCGGATGGAGCGCTACAGTTCTCTTGTGTATCGGATAGCAGTAAACCAGCAGCTAGCATCACCTGGTGTCTGAATGGTGAAGATATCACTGCCGACTCCAGTCAAACAGAGGAAGCGGGTTTAAGAAACAAGACATTTACAACAAAAAGTATCGTGAGTCACAGGTTTTTAAAGGAAGACATTGAAAAAAAACTTCGTTGTCATATCTTCATTCACCAACGTTTACCCGAAGAAGTTTTAAGCGAGATTTTGTACATGGCAGACACCGTGACCATCAGCAGCAGCAACAACTCCAGTGATGATGACGTCATTATTATCGAGGCAGAGACGCTGATTCTACGCTGCAATGCTGACGGCTATCCAGAACCATCTTTCACGTGGTTGCACGACGACCAGGGGATACAAGCTGCAGGCGACGAGCTGGTGCTCGAGTTAGTCGAGCTTAAACACAGAGGATTGTACGCGTGTAAAGCAACTAGTGTGTTTGGAGAATACATGTCGACTAACATGTTGAATGTGACCGTGTTAGTGCCAGCAGGGAATGTCACAATGACGATAGACGGTAATAATGTAGACGGTAATATGACGATACTTGCGGGATCCCATGAGGTTATCTGCACTACAGGTAAAAGCTACCCGGGAGGAACAGTAACATGGAAGCTTGGTGATACACCTATAAACGGAGCTAATACTTTACATGTCAGTGAGGTCGATAGAACTATAACGACGTACAGCACACTGACGCGTACGTTTATCGCTGATAATCACGACAAAATACTTGCCTGTCTTGTTGACATCCACGAATCATTCCAGTCATTGTCAGTCGATGTTTGGCTTAATGTACAGTACATGGGGCAGGTCAGAGTAAGCGGTGACAGTCAGGCAGGCGTTATGACTGTCAAGCACGGCAGTGCGCTTTGGCTGCTGTGTAACGCAGACGGAAACCCAGAGCCAAGTTATTCATGGCTTCAAAACAAATCGTTAGTTCCTGCAGAAGTAAACCGCGTGTACGAAAGGGAACAGGTTAGTTTCGTAGATGCTGGTGACTACGCATGCTCAGCCGCTAACATTGCAGGAGTTGTGAACTCTGCTAATTCAATGTCTGTAGTCGTCGTTGCTCCCCAACCAAATACATCGAATACGGCCCTCATTGTCGGACTGGTCATCGCTGCTTTGGTTTTGATCATCTTAATCATCGTCATCGTCGGCGTCTGCGCGAAGAAGAAGCATGACTCAGAGTCCCCTACTTCTTCGACCGAGAGCGCCACAAATTACCACGATAACGCTGGCATGAATGTTTGGACAACGGACATATCCCACAGTGTACCGGATCAGTATGAGTCGGGCCAGGGGGAAAGAAGCTACACCCAACCTCACACAACCTACCTACGACCGCAGTACGAGCCCAGTCTCGTGGAGAGCTACAACTACCCCGGCAGAATAGACGGCGTGCTACCGCAGTATGCGCAGGAATCGTGCAGCCAACCTGACAGATCGCACAGTGTGCCACGTCAGTATGACTCCGGTTACATTGATATCCTACCTGAAGACTCTTACAGTCAGTGTGCCGCGCCAGAAGATGGCGCTGGTTGTATGAGAGGAAGCGACGACGACGCTGCCTACGTTATTCCTCCCATGAGAACGTTAGGTTATGGTCAGGGCTCTGGCAACGATTCTAACTCTGCGCATTCACTCAGTGGCTGGATTCCCAACAGCGACTCGAATCGTTATGGTATAACACTTCAGATGAGAGTTACTTTAACACGCTTGTCTGAACATTAATCATAAAGCACTAGGCTGACTTCGATCGCGTTATGAAGAAACTTCTATAAAAACTATATATATTAAAGTAGAGAATGGATTATAGGAGGCAGTTGTCTGAACATTTCACAACAGCGCACGTCCTGTTGCATTAACACGAGAAATGCAACACTATACGTGATCACGTCGCGTTATATTAAAATACAATTCCGGGTTCGTTAGGAAGTCTTTGATTTTCTTTACGGATAATAAATAACAAGAGTATACACGATGTGAGACGTGGTTTCGTTCCTGTATCACAGGACATAATATAAGTCAAACGCGCTGATCTAACAAGTTCGAGTTTATTGTTTGTCTTAACAATATAATGTTTGTGTATATTGTTAGTTTGTAATTACACCATAAAGCACCGTAGTCTATGTACATTACTAGAAACTGGGCTGATATATAGATGTCGCACTCCTACGCCTCACTATTAGGACGGGTTGTTCTTGGGACGTTGTATATATTACATTGCATGAAAGCTACGTGATGAGTGTGGGAGGCCGTCGATGGACTATTTTATAGAAAGATACTGATGGATGTATATGAGAGTGGTATATGAGTGTGTGTATATGAGAAGGTAACATTACTCGTTATACGGGAGCGTGTAAATTA